TAAAATTGTAAAGTCACGAGGATCACGTGACTTTTGAACATATAAAGATGAAAAACCTAAAAAAACACGTGCAAACAGAAACTCGTGAGGTCAATCGATGCAAGTTTGCTTAAACTGAACACGCACACGTAACTTGAACTGGAAAAACAAATTAAAATTGTTATTTTCATCTTTGTTAGAAAATGCCGCGCCTTTCAAATGTAGAACGTCTACGTGCTATAGGTAGGCTGTATGCTGGTGAGTCTGTGGTCACTGTTGCAAGAGCCTTTAATTGTTCACGCCAGACAATAATTAAACTTAGAATGAGAGTGCTTCAAACTGGAACTATTGCCGACAGCCCCAGGGCGGGAGCGCCACGTGTGACGTCACTCCAGGAAGATCAAGCAATACGATTACGTCATCTTAGAAACAGATTTGTCACTGCAACCTCCACAAGTAGAGAGATGTTTGGTGGAAAGGTAACTGTACAAACTGTTCGAAATCGCTTGTAGACTGCTGGTCTTCGAGCTCGGAGGCCCTATAATGGACCAATATTGACACCTCTTCATCGCCGTAACCGACTTGTGTGGGCCACAAGACATAAGATTTACTCAAAGACAGTGGAATTCGGTTGTCTTTAGTGACGAATCTCGATTCACTTTGAGATTTGCCGATGGCAGGGTCCGAGTGTACCGCAGACGAGGTGAACGTTACGCTCAAGTATGCGTCAGAGAAGTTGACCGATTTGGTGGCGGCAGCGTCATGGTTTGTGGTTCTTTTTGTGCACATGGACGTTCTCCTCTTGTTGTTGTCCAAAGGAACTTAAACGCTGTCCAGTACAGGGGTCAGATTTTCCAACCTGTTCTTCTTCCGTTTATGCAGAGCCCCGACCTTAATCCTATTGAACACATCTGGGATGAACTGGGTCGACGTGTTCGCCAGCAAGTGAATCCACCACTGACGTTTCAGGACCTTCAACATGCTCTTGCATGAAACTTGAAATATATCTTTATAACCCAAAGATCTTGGTTCCTGTCAATATCGCGCATATTGGATCATAACTTCCTGAATTATGACCCCGATTGTACAATATATCATCGGTACACCCTAAGGATGGTTGAGTTCGAATTTCGCAAAAATCGGACCGAAACTGACAAAATGGCCGTCCCTGGTTCGCAAATATACTATTCAAAAAAAGTAGGGGATATTTGATTTTTAAGTGTTATTAAAGTCACCTAATGAAACTCGCGAAGAAACAAATGACAAAATGAAATGAAGTTCACATTCATCGATTTATTCCAAATGATCGTTAGACTAAGTAAGGCACAGACTGACCATTATAAGGGTAAAATGATACCCGGGGTCAAACAGCAAAGTTACCACAGCATCACAACCAAGTCAGTAACGGGTAAATCCTCCTCTGTTTGCCAAACAAGCATTGATCCGACGTGGCATACTCCTAATGAGACGTCTAAGGTCATTTTTGTCCAGATTGTCCCATTCCTGTTGCAACGCAGCAGCAAGTTCTTGGACATTGGCAGGACGTTGTTGACGTTGACGTAACCTCTGTCCAAGCATGTCCCAGACATGCTCGATGGGGGAGAGGTCAGGACTCAGTGCTGGCCAAGGTAATGTGGTGATGTTCTGTTGTTGGAGGTAACCTGTAACGATCCTGGCCCTGTGACATCTTGCGTTGTCATCCTGGAAGATGAAACGGCGGCCATGACGTCGTGCGAACGGCACAACATGGACTGCCAAGATGTTGTCCCGGTAGTACTGGCCTGTAACACGCCCTGCAACAACATGTAAAGCCGTTCGTCCAGCAACAGTGATGCCTCCCCACACCATAACAGAACCACCCCCAAATCGATCATGTCTGATGACGTTAACGTCTTGGAAGCGCTCGTTTCGACGACGCCACACCCTCCTACGTCTGTCCAAAAAATCAACAGTGAACCTTGACTCATCTGAAAACATCACATTGCTCCAGCGTCGATTATCCCAGTGTTGACGATCCCTACACCAACGACGTCTTGCCTGAATGTGATGATCTCTCAAACAAGGGATCACGCGAGGACGTCGGGCGCGAAGGTGACCCCTATGCAGTCGATTCCGAATCGTCTGGCCACTCACTCTCACACCAGTGTCTGTTTGAAGATGAGCGCTGATCTGATTTGCTGTGATGACACGATTTCTCAAGGCCAAGGTACGGATAAATCGATCCTGGGCTTGAGTTGTCGCCCTTGTTCGACCTGAGCGTGATCTGTCCTGTACAGACTGTGTATCACGGTATCTGGACCATAGCCTGCTTATGACAGACTGCGAAACATTCATCGTCTGTGTTGTGCCGATCTGTAGCATGCCAAGGGCACGTAACCTTTCATTTTGGGTAAGCCGACGCATATCAAAATTTGTTTTCTGGTCACTAAAACAATTAAACTGATGTTTCCACCCTGGAATTCAATGCCACAATGACTGTAACATTCAAAGTCAGAGTCGTGCAAATCTTGGGTTGGACCCCCATGATGATCCCAAGCATCACCTGCATTCCATGCGGTAGCTATTGGTGCGTTTGGGCGTCACATGTAACTGGAAATGTTTCTTCTGTTAGGTTCTATAGTGACTTTTTTCGTAGTCATTTGCATATTTTAGTATTATGCCCCCAAAATCAAATATCCCCTACTTTTTTTGACTAGTATAGTATCAAGATATTATGTATCAGGGTTGTCAGGAGCACAAAATACTTCCCGGTGAGGAGCAGCCTCCTAATGTGCCTGCCTCTACAGGTGGGCAAAGCGTATATAACCGACGCCCTAGATGTCCAAAATACACCTACGTCGTGTGACGCCAACAGGCAGCCTCGTCACATCTCAATTTTGGAAAAATATATTACTGCTCGGGAACCATGTGACCTAGGTATTTAAAATGAACACAAAATGGCATTTTTTCATGTTAATCTGGATTTCAAACAAAGTCAACGTGTCCTGTTTTCTATTTGTCATTCGTTTTCTGTGGTTATATTACCGGGGCTTCAATGTGAACGTTCGTATAATTTGTCATTTATTATTTGTGTATATTTGATTTTTCTGTGGCTAAAATAAAACTGATATGATATTGAAATTTCTTTGGAATTATGAATAATAAATTCAATATCCTCTAAATATTTCATAACTAAATTCATGTTTACATTTATTTTGAATGTTCGCATAATCAATCATTGAAATGTATTATTTCATTTTGTGTATATTTAATTATATTCCAGATAAAATAAAACGGATAAGATGTTAGAATCACATTAATACTGGCCGATAAATATTTCATAAATAAAATCATATTTACATTTATTCTGAATGTGAAACAGATAACGCCTTATCTCTCTTTATAAATCTCTAAATTAATTATTGATAAGCATTTTCCATGTCGCACAATATGGATGTTTGACAATATCACTACAAACTGCAGGTCCGTCGCTCAAATTGTGTTAACATAGTACGTGTTTTAAAAAAGAATGTCCATTCACTTTTTACGAGACTGAGACGTCACATCAGACGCGGCTCTAATGATTTCCCCATTGACTTTAATGTTAATTCTCGTCTCTTAGACCGGCTCTAACTTTTTCCCAAATTTTCGTTGGGTAGAACGCTTTCTGCCACAGATGGAGCAACATGTGGCAAACTCTTGCCCAAAAGCATGTATGAGGTTCACCATGAAAAACTTGAGATACACAAGCTGGAAGTAGAGACATGTAAACATGCAATTTTCGGCCCTACATTTCAAACTAACCAACATCTCAACTCTTGTATTCTTCCGCCTCAAAATCGTGAATATTCACCAAAACCTGGCAGAATATGTATTTTCAAACCCCTTTCTTCGATTCTACATAACAAAGGCAACAGAAATCGCCATGCAAAAGTGAGAAAAGGGAAAGGGAGTGAAAGACTAAAAATAACGAGACGGCGTAGAAATATTTGGCGAGCTGTGTCCATATAAACATATAGTCAATATGTCTATCATCTTGCACTTTCCACCCAGAAATCAAGCTTATTTCTGACCAATTTGCCCGTGCATCCTGTATAAACCTTACAAATTACGTATCCATATGATTCAAACCTCGGGACTGGTGTAATATTATTGGGTGAATTATGCTATCCTAATGCATAATAACATTTGGTGTCTGTTTATTTATATTACGATAAAATGCTAGTAAAGAACATTGACCGAGTATTTTGTCGAGGCCAATGTCCATATAAGGGTGGTTCTCAACGGCATGAGGCGTAAAATATAACCAATCACTTAATTAACTGCATAAACTTGGCCAATTGAATAATTAATAGCGGAAATTTGGATATATACAAAGCGCTGGAAGTGGGCTGTACTTTTAGATATCATGTAGATTCTTTACATATCTGTCCAGCATTGGATTCAGTAAACCCCGTTGATTCGTAGGCAAGCCATGATGTAGGGGAATCCGTTCGTAACTCGCCTTGCGAGTTCATGGGGTTGAGAGAATAACTTTTATGTATCCTCAGCTTGACATAAAATGTAGAAACGAAACTGTTGTAGTGTTATTCCCGTAACCATATAGTTAGCTGTTGTAAATACACAAAGTTCAAGTGAAGTCCTAGAGTAGAGAATTGCAATAACATACGTCCGAGAAAAATATAGACGATCACAGGTTAACCAGATGTGTAGCAAGACAATATATCAAACGATTTGATGGCACCGTTTTAGAGATCCGACCGACGTGTATTGTTACACTGGTGCAGTCACTAATCTTTTGTTTATATTCTATATTAAAAATCTACCCCAGGCGTTGTGCGAAAAAAAAGTCCAGGGGCTTTCTATCGAAAAGGGGTTATGGGAGGATGCATGAAACAATTTACGACAAATGGCCTAAAGGATACAATTCGAGTAAAATGGGCAGAAATATGCTTAAAAGTAATACGAAATTCCATTTCTGGGTGGAAAAGGCACATACAAAATGTAATATACTCAGCCAAATTAAAAACTTGACACTGATGAATTTCAACAATTTTTTTTTTCTGGTAAGTCAAATAAATTTTAAAGTGTTTCTAACGATAGTAAGTAGTAAGAAGCCTTTAATTTCATAAAATTGTAAAGTCACGTGGATCACGTGACTTTTGAGCATATAAAGATGAAAAACCTGAAAAACACGTGCAAACACAAACTCGTGAGGTCAATCGATGCAAGTTTGCTTAAACTGAACACGCACACGTAACTTGAACTGGAAAAACAAATTAAAATTGTTATTTTCATCTTTGTTAGAAAATGCCGCGCCTTTCAAATGTAGAACGTCTACGTGCTATAGGTAGGCTCTATGCTGGTGAGTCTGAGGTCACTGTTGCAAGAGCCTTTAATTGTTCACGCCAGACAATAATTAATCTTAGAATGAGAGTGCTTCAAACTGGAACTATTGCCGACCGCCCAAGGGTGGGAGCGCCACGTGTGACGTGACTCCAGGAAGATCAAGCAATACGATTACGTCATCTTAGAAACAGATTTGTCACTGCAACCTCCACAAGTAGAGAGATGTTTGGTGGAAGGGTAACTGCACAAACTGTTCGAAATCGCTTGCAGGCTGCTGGTCTTCGAGCTCGGAGGCCCTATAATGGACCAATATTGACACTTCTTCATCGCCGTAACAGACTTGTGTGGGCCACAAGACATAAGATTTACTCAAAGACAGTGGAATTCGGTTGTCTTTAGTGACGAATCTCGATTCACTTTGAGATTTGCCGATGGCAGGGTCCGAGTGTACCGCAGACGAGGTGAACGTTACGCTCAAGTATGCGTCAGAGAAGTTGACCGATTTGGTGGCGGCAGCGTCATGGTTTGTGGTTCTTTTTGTGCACATGGACGTTCTCCTCTTGTTGTTGTCCAAGGGAACTTAAATGCTGTCCAGTACAGGGATCAGATTTTGCAACCTGTTCTTCTTCCGTTTATGCAGAGCCCCGACCTTAATCCTATTGAACACATCTGGAACGAACTGGGTCGACGTGTTCGTCAGCAAGTGAATCCACCACTGACGTTTCAGGACCTTCAACATGCTCTTGCTGAGCAATGGCGACGTCTTCCTCGGGTAGTGTTTACTAATGTTCTGAGATCCATGAGAAGACGTTGTGTGGCAGTACGAGACGCTAGAGGAGGCCACAACCGTTACTAAACACTTTATTCCGATTGTTCTCCAAGTCTGTGAATTTCATTTTGGGGGGTACTGTGACATCACGAACGTTATCAATGTCAAGGACTTTCGGCGAGACGTATTCTTGCTTTCTGTTGATGTCAAGGTCGTCTGTGCACAACATAACACTAAAATAATTGCCTTAAACCAAATATCAAAAATCTAGTCCCAAAAATCCCGAGTGTCAAGTTTTTAATTTGGCTGAGTATATATTGGCGCGGCTTTGAACTTCCCTTTACCACATATGTTCAGATGGTTACTTAGTAGAACTGTTCTGTTTTCTGGGTGGAGCATCTGGGACGTGTATAGATTCATTCGAAGGTTAAGTTGTTGGTCGTTTTTGCCAATATAGTATTCCCCGCATCCCGAGCAAAATAACAAGTAAACAACATGCTTAATTTTGCAGTTCATGTTTTGTTTAACAGTAAATATTCGGTTATTTGACATAATCCACACCGTTTATCACCACATTTTGATACGCGTGAATTTTCCGTAATTTCATTCATATCAAACTAACAAGATGTCAATATTTCCCTAAGATTTGCTAGCTGTTTGTAGCTGCTAATAAAGTTTGTTTTTGAAACAATCTTTTTCATTTTTGGGCACTTATCCAGCACCGGCTTGTTCATATCGATGATGTTCATTGTCAATCAGGTTTACGGGATGATCTTGTTATATAAAAAATTGATTCAATTCGCCAAGTTTTTAATTATTGTCCATACCCGCCTCGCTAAATTGTACGGGATGTTACGTTTCGTGTGTGCAGGATGACTTGATATGAAGTTTGGGTATTGATGCGTATCCCGTTTCTATTTCACCAGTATCCGATAAATGGAATATTTCTATCTCCTTTTCATCTGAACGTCTTGAGGCTTTGGACCTTCTATTTTGATAGAAATTATTACATTTAGTTAGAATTAATACCACCGCAACAACGACTTTAAAAATCTCATAACCTCTAGCCTGTGAAGTGTTAACATGGCTTCGTTGACAGGTGCAATAACTATGTGATAAATCATTGCAAGATTCTAAATGTGGACAGTGTTGCGCCGTTTGACTAACAGATCGGTCTACTAGAATATGGCGGATATTGAAATGCAAATACCTATGCAGGTTGTCATATGATAAATAGTCATGGACACTTGACATGCTTTGAGAGTATGTTCACATATGAAGAACTTATCGCCCCAACAGAGCCGACACGCAACAGCTCCATACACGTGGGAGGGGTTCATTGTCAAATTTGACACTTCAAGGAAGGGTTGATGAAAACTGCCGCTTGCTGGTTTATCCTATCCATGTTTGCTTTCCTATCGGTTTTGCATAAGATTTACTGTGTAGCGTATCTTTGCTTTAGTGTGTTACGTTTGATCGGGAGACGTGTTCGTCGACGCCAACGTCAACCGACAGTGGCACTGCGAGAGGAGTGGGTCAGATTGCCCCAAATCGTGATTGCACAGTTGATTAGGAGCATGTCACGACGAATTGCTGAATTTCTGAGGATTGGTGGAGCAATTACTCATTATTAAGACAAAAAACAAAAACGTCCATTTTCACTTTTGACAGTGTATCTCTTTACGAGTGAAAGGGGGCCATCAGATAAGTCGCCCATATGAACTCTTTATGTTCATGTGTAGGCAATTGGCCTGTTCTTAACGTAACAGTGCATTTCCGAAGTTTTGTATTGTTTCTGAATATCCCCTACTTTTTTTGAAGAGTATATATATAATGTAAATTTAAATAAGAGTTATCTAACCTGGAAACAAAACTCTACTAATCATACCCGGGAATATCATTAGAAATAATGGCAGAAATTTCAGATAACCAGCTAATATAGAACCAGCTTTAGCGTGGGTTAAATTTTTAGCGGCGAGTGTTCTCTGGACGATGACCTACAAGGAACGATAGAAGATATATTCTCATGACTCGCCTTTAACAAATAACAATCAACTTTGCTTTCTAATCCAGTAAATTTGTTTAAATTTAAACTGGAACTATACTCATTTTAATGTTTCAACCCCTGTGGCTTCTATGTAGTAGGTGCCTGTTTAAAGACTACCAAAATACGTGTTGTTTGTTGTTTTCTGGATTTCAAATTTAACGTCCAATACACTAAAGACCAACGAGCATGTTAAACGAATTACATCACTTCCGATTTAGATAAAGATTAATTTCTCGCTTACAAAATCTGTTTGCTTGAGTTACAGGGGTGATTATTTCTAAATATATATTTAAAATTTATGGAAACCTCGTGTTGAAAATCTTCCCCTTTAAGATTTTTAACATATTAAGGAGTAATACAAAAAAAAATGAAAAAAAAAAATCTTGTATATAATACTTTGATCAATCTACTATGGGAAATAATGTTTAAATCAATCTGATTAAAACACAGATCCTATTTCGTTTCGTTTTTTATGGCTCAAAATTGTGTTTTACTTGTCTTTACTACACCAGCATCTGGAAGAGTTGTTATATAATTCGCGTTCTGGATGATGTGAGGGATTAGCCAATGAAACGGTCTGTTACGGCGAGTTTTTGGCGTAAGGTGCGCGGAACAGCGGGGTAACCCACTAGAAACATCAATGCTGATTGGTAAATCAAATGTCTGACGTCATAGGGTCAAAAACCGCTCGTATGACCCCTGGCGCGACCTTCTACTACACGCGGTCAGATCTTCATGTAGTAGAGGCCATCGAAAAATAAAAAAAAACGAAACAAAATATAGATCTGTATTCTAATCAGATTGTTTTTAAATATGGCAAAATTTAGGATGATTCATAATCAGTATACAAATCCTTATGAATTAGCCCTTTACCTGATCACAGCACCAGTACCATATACAACCTAAACTGGTTTGTATCAGGAGTCCTGGCCATGGGTTGTCTGAGTTGATAGGATCACGGAAGATATGAAAAGCGTCTGCTCTAGGTTCCCCACAAGTTGTATTATTTGCGCGAACAGATGGCATGGCTTCCATGTATTTATACTGCAATGCTTCATAACCCCCAACTCTATTGAAACCTTGAAACATAACATATTGAATATCAACGAAGCAATTGATTCATAAAGCTCTGTAATAATGAAAGTAATAATCAATTACATATCAGAAAAGGTAGGAATATCACAATATTAAAGAATGAAATGAAATGGGGTTTAACGTCTTACTTTTCCGCACCAACCGTGATTATATTCGCGTACTATTCTGAAGACACCTAGTATTATTGATATTGTGCTGCTTCAGATGCCCCTTTCCTTTCAAAGAAATCTGTAAATCAATTTTCCGCTGTTGTGTTACTTACCTATTACACATAATACCAAAGCTCCTACCGTCATGACAATAGTTTGTAATGTATCCGTGTACATGACAGCTGCTAATCCTATTTAAAGATAATTGTAAATTAAAATCAGGACGGTACAATTTTATACTGTAGCATAACTATGATACAACAGAGTTACAGTTTGCAAATTAAACGTCGAAATTAAACATATCACTCTAAAATGAACACCAAATTTGCTTAACAGATAACACAGTTCAGATGAAGTGTTTCCTCTAATTTTTCCTCGAAAATATTAAAGGTATTGTTATCCATACAAACTACGGTTGTTGGAAAGCTTATTATGAACAGAGTTATTAACAAAGATTTAGACAATTAACATTCCGTCGAAACTAAACGCAGACGAATTCCTTCAGCCGAAACTAAAATCCCATCTCGGTGGACATACATTTGAAATGGCTGTAACATTTACAAACATTTCCCTTCAAACAAGTAAAAACATATACCTTATTATTATATTCATGTATATGACATAAATGTACTTACCTAATACTGTATATAAACCAGTAATAAGTAATAGACCAGTAACAGATATATACATATTCCATGCTAGAGCTAGTTTTATAAATAATCCACCAGCATATATACTAACCTGTAGATATAAAATTTTAACAGGTATATTTAATGCATAAAATTAATATGAATTGAAATTGGCTAATGAAGACGGGCATGCGCCATACAGTGTGCTATGGAACTTTATCATTTAGACATTTATTTACACAAGGAAGATGATAAGCAACTCTCTAGGGCATCGAATGACTTACATATTGAATGGATTAGAATACCTTCGCTATTTAATAATTTAACGATAAATTGGATAATCGAGACTCTGTTTATTATCGTAGACGCGATAGTTGACAATCGAGACTATCTTTTCAAAACTTCAGACACTCACAACTTCGCTCATAATAAGTAATAATAATATATCCATTTCCCATTTTCTATTTCTGAACTATTATAGCAAGAACAGCCAGCTCTTTATCTAAATCTGACATAATATATCTTTAAAGTAAAGCTGAACAGTCTGGCCCGTGCACAAAACTTTTCACTAAACGTATAGCTAATTAATAATTATCCGTAACATTCTTGTTTGGGGTTTTATCTTGGACGGCGTCGGCGGATGTGGGGGGGGGGGGGTAACAGAAATAGAAATACGAACCGCTAACTTAGTAACTATATAGAGTACTAGAGATAAACAACTTAAATATACTCTAATCCTCTTCCCACCAAATCTCTTCTCCATATATTCTGGCATTGTGTATACCTGTAAATCATAAACCTCTCTAATTTGTGTCTTACATTACGGTTGTTTAAAGTTATGTAGTTGGAGACTATGTTAAAAAAAAAAAGTTCGTTGTAATCGAGTGGTCAGGGAACTGAAATGTCCTCCAGAATGTCCCTGGACCGAACCGCTGAATATGAGGGACGAAAATCCTAGGCCCATTCGTGTGCACTTGAACAAAATCTAGCCAGTTGGAAATCTTAGAAAATTAGACAAAATTGTCACTGCCTGAGACGAGTAGCTTTTCTTACATGCACAAATAGATAAATATAATTTTTTGCTGTAGATTTCACTTTTACTGAACCTGATTACATTACGGCGTAGTGATACATCATTTTCTGACAGCAATTCAACCATTGCAAAGTCCTTTATATTAACCCAGTGTTTCCATCAATGTCAATTAAATAACAATAGTTCATTTTTAATAAGAAAAAAATTTACTTTTAAAAAAAATGAACTGTTCTTTGAAAATAAAATAAAGTAGTTCCTTTTCAATTGACCAATCAATAAGGAGATATCGCAGTAGATTATTAAATATATCACACAGGGGATATCTACTGTACAATGTATTATTTGGTGATAAATAAAGATATATTACCCCGGCTGATATATAAACAGGTAAAAATATCCACCCTAAACAAATTACTAGTGGCATTCCCTGAAATGCACAAATTACATATATCAAATATACATGATCCCATATTAATAATATATATTTAATTTGAATATATGCATTATCATTATCCTACACTGTAACAGCTGTGAACGAAAGAATCCCTCGGGTTATTTTTCCATCTGGGCACAACCGAGACGGGGTTCGGGTATTTAAAAATGACTTGACTGTGAGAAGTTTATAATTCTTACAATCCATTCATACATGATGTTAGATATACCAGATGCTGCGCCACTACCAGCCAATCCCACAAAATGTTCACTGCCAATATTACTGGAGAATAACGACGCTCCTACCTGTAAAAGATGAACTATGACATAGTTAAATACGTCACATATACACAACCAACCAATGTAGACCGCGAATTTAATAAATCTAAATCTATTTGAACATACATATACCCACGGATGTGTTAGAGTTTGTTTTTTATTGCAACTGCGTGATTTCTTTTGGGGATTGCTGAACTTGGTGTATTTAAAAGACGATTTATGGTTAATACAAGAAAGATCCAATCCCTCGATATCGTCTCTAAACATATACTAAATCTAAATTGCATTGATATTGGACTGAGAGAAAATATGTACCAGAAAAACACATGGAGAAAATGAAGGTTTACTGAAGGTGGGTATACTGAAAAACAAAATTGCTTAATATGTGACATACTTAAATACAAAGATCGTTTACTTTAGTTGGAGAATCATAATAATTTGTTAAAACTTATTTAACATTAACCAGTCATGAAAATTGAAAGATATAAGATATAATCAGACGATAAAAATAGGGAGAGCTATGTAACATATTTTATACTGCAATCGGAAGAGGTTGTCGACAGGGCGAACCTTTATCTCCTTATCACTTTAACCGTTGCTTTGAAAATTTGGCAAATCTTTAGAAAACACACACACACACACACGCACCCCCCCCCCCCCCGCACACACACACACACACACACACACACACAAATTTTTCTATATAATTTTTAAAAAACCTACCGGGAACCATTTCATGTTTCGACCAGCAAGAAAATAGCCTTTTACAGTTCCGCGATTTGGTCTACATAAAGACTGAAATAGAAGTATACGAATAAAAATATCATTGATATTGAATGTAAATATAATACCGTTTTTATTAGCCCAGTCGGTGAAGAACAGTTGTAAATAGTATATCAGATAATTTGTAAATTATTTTCTGTGCACTCTTCTGTTTGATTTTCACAAACTGCGCAGCATGGCCCCTATGTGGAAAACACTTAACCCCCTGAATAACCATTATAAAATATTTGAAATTTAGATGTTGTGGCGTTAGGTCCAGCGAGTCCACCATTTTATTCTAATAATTAAACTATACTCGACCCATAATCTTTGTTCGCTTCGCGGCTGAAATATTACCGAATCAGTCTTTGTAAACACCCCTTCTCGTTTGAGAAATTCCTTGTACTTTTACTTTAAAATATTGCTTCTTAGCAAGAATATGGAGGTGTGTTTCCTAATAATAGTAAAAATATTATGTACATACCCATAACCCAACTGCAAGTACAAGAATAAAATATATAACAACAACTGTAATATCAGCCCAATGGTTTAATCCTTGTGTGTCCATTTTGGTTTACTCCTTTCTAAACAGTCAATTTCAATACCTGGATAAATTCGAGAAGTTAACAAATATCGCCCCACTATTGACAGACTGTACTCCAATCCATGATCTCGGTGGTTGTATTTTGTCTTTTATCATAGAGTGATAGCGGGTGTAGATTAAAGTGATCAAGAAGCTACGGGCTTCTCATTTCCCCATGTAGCATGTAAAATTCCTCTTAGACTGACCGTTAGTCTGGGTGTGTGGATTACCTATTGTGGGCTTGATTGTGGTTTTACTCAGTGTAAAAAAGGACTAATTATGCCCTATATTGTATTATATATACATTGATCACACATTATTATATTGTTATGTGTTTGTTTTTAGTTTGAGTGGAGCCTGTATCTCTACTATTCCGGAACTGTACTCGAACTATTATAAAATAATAGTGCACGTCAAATATGCATCCACATCAAACGTCAACAGAGTTTAATTTTTTTTTAATACACTGGCTTTGATCAAGCTATAGAAGTACACACGAAAGATAGAATTTCCATATTACTGAGTTGCCAATCTATTACATAAAATGTTATAACATATCCTATTATATATAAAAGTGTAAAACGTATATTATTTGATTATACATTGAGAAAAATCTTGAGTTAAAGTTCAACACAAGGACTTGTGTGAAAAATGATGTACACAAACTTCTTTTCTAATACATTAACATAAACTTGTGTTCTTTTCTAACACATTAATGCTAACTTGTGTTCTTTTCTAATACATTAATACAAACTTTTGAAAAATTATCAAATGATGTGTTTTCCGTATATTTAGCAAACGTAATGTGTATTCTTCGATAATGACAAAATATGTGCTGAATCTTAATGATATATATTGATTTAAGAGGACAGAAGAGTATAGAAATGTTGTGAAGTGACCTATATAGCTATAATATGTCACCCGTTCTAGTTTAAAGGGGAACTGGGTAAGATTAGATAACGAGCTGACAGTTCTCGCTATAATAGCTTAAAAAAGACAATGAAAGCAAAATAATTAATGTCTATTATGTTTAATGTTATTTAATAATAACATTACTCAATGCTTCTTAATGCACCTCCATTTCGAAATACAACAACTTTTGTTTTCGAAATGTTTACATCAAGATCGAATTTATGACAGAAGTTCTGCAAGATATTAAAGATATTAAGTTTTTGCTGTAGGTCCCCTACACTGGCTCACACGTAAATAAATTAACTGGAGAATTCTGGGGTTCAACAATATTTCCTTCGGCATAAACAGAATAAATATATCCCCCCTCTCTTGAATCTTGAAAATTCCCTAACACCTCCTGCCTCCATATACTCGTTGGCATACAAAAGCATTGTAAAAGCTATCGTACCTTTTCAACGTCTAGTAAATAGTTTAACTAGAGAATTTTGGCGACCAAAAATATTTGACTGATCATACGTTGTGTATGGTTCAGGAGAGCACCATTACTGATATCTGTAACACTACAGATAACAGAAGATCAGCATAATTATAAGACATTTATTAAGAACATGAAATAGACGTAAGTCGTGGGGAGCTCTATTCCGAGTCTCACTTATTGTCATCAAACTCCTGGTTATATAGCGTCCTACAATAGTGAAAATGGATAAGAGTCATCGTCATATATGGAATTGATAACTTATCAGGTCATGGTATGATTAACTGACCACTGCACATTTCCTTTGAAGTCATGTATCAGGTCATGGTATGATTACCTGACCACTGCGTATTCCTTTGAAGTCATGCCGAGGTTGTACACAGATCATATGTAGCTTGTAAAGGACATGTGTGATTAATTGCATGTTAAATTAGAACACTGTTCGTGACTAACAGAAGTATATACAGCGTTGAAAAGTCAATATCAGATATTATCAAAAAACAGTTGGTAGGCAATAAGTTCTATCTTTTGACCTAATTGATCGTTCAATTTGATGAAAGTTATTGAGCACGTTGTCACAATATAAATATATCCTCCATCTCTTGAATCGTGAAAATACCCCTAACACCCCCAGTTTCCATATACTCTACTATCGGACTCGGTATGCAGTCCAGTCTAACCCACAGGAGCATGTAACGTGGAACATATATCAAAAAGAATATTAAGTATAATTATTAAAGGCTCAATACCACTCTTGTTGTAACTGAATAATATGTCCCAATCTTTATTCTGGTCAACAAATTGTACTATTTTAGAATATTTCAATTAATTGATGATACAAATTTCATCTTAACACACCTTATTTAAAAATTTTGAAAAATTCAACATAATGGTTTGAAACGTCTAACGTAAACCTTTTCAAATTTAAAAATATTTTCGAACCCTCTGCACAAGTAAAATAGGATGTAATGGATAATTTACACAACAGGTAGGACACTTTTACATCTAGTACTTAGATAGAGATATTATTTATTTTCTGGAGCTTTCAAGCCAGCAAGAGCGTTATTGTCCCTTTAAGTATAATGTCTGAAGTCTGTAAAGTCCATGTTCGTAAGCGAAATTATTAAATTATTAAATCCGATTTCTAACTCAAGGGCACATAACTCGTTTGAAACCTGTTCTCTTTCAGTAGATATAATAATACCAAGGTGAGAAAAGGATTTGAATTAAATAATTGGGATCAAAGTTCACTACTCTAGATTCCACCAACCAGTGGCAGTACTCACTAAATTTCGCTAGGTAGACAATCGGGTCTACGATGACTTTTTTTTTTAATTATCCACATGATCGCTTTAAAGTCACGTGGAGATTTTTTAAATTAGAAATTGGAATCAGCCCAATTATTTGATAATCTCGCTTACGAACATGGACTTAACAGACTTTAGAAATGAAATGAAATGGGGTTTAACGTCCTACTGTTCTTCTCCGAATTGGGCTAATGAAGACGGGCATACAGCGTGCTATGAGGGAAACTTTGCCGGACAGCGGCACTACGGCCTACTCTTATATCGAATTCCAACTGTCAAGGGATCTTTTACGTGTACACCAATGTGTACACGGGACCTCAGTTTTTCGTCCCATCAAAACGACTAGACAGCTGTCCTTGTGTAACAGACTTTAGATATATACTTAATCATTGTTTGATGTTATTTTTTTAATATTTCCAAGTTACAGGCGACTGTGGTCTAATCCCGGAAATACAATCGAAATAAGGCGTTAGTTTTGAATCTACCTTAACACTAGAGGAGACTGATTTGTACATGGTTTTTAAGGCATTATGCATTTTACCTTGAATACCTCTTTACTAATTTTAGGATACTAGGGCCATTAATTTCAACCGGTTGATAGAATCGTAGGCTTTAGAAAAATATATATGAAAAACACATATAGACGGCCTTTAGATTTTGAGAGATGTTTTTGGACAAGACCCTGCAGAGTGAAAATAAATGCATTGTATAGATCTATAAAGTGACGGCAATATTTCCAATGTTGATTGTTTACGATAAGAATGTTTCATATTGAGATTCTTTGTATCTGCAAAGGAACGGCAATAATTCCAATGCTGATTGTTTACGAAAAGAACGTTGTATATAATATGTACTTCTTTGTATCTGTAATATCTATGTATTATATAGTCGATGAAATGAAATGAAATGAAATGGGGTTTAACGTCCTACTGTTCTGCTCCTATACTGGGCTAATGAAGACGGATATAGTCGATGAAATAGGTCAATTCGAAACACCAAAGAAAATAGTAACATGACAGGCGTGGTTACAAAAGGGCTTTACCTAACGACAAAACTTTAGCTGCACCTACGGTTCTGTGATAATCGTCGTTTCCCGTAAAATATTAACATGACACACGCGTTTACTAAAAGGTTCTACCAAACGATAAAGCATTAACTGCACTTACAGTTCTTTGATACTCATCGTTTCTCGTAAAAGTAATTTTGTTGTTTATTACAAATTTAACGTCAAATACATTATGCTTGATATTATGGACAGATTGATTTAATTCATTTATTTACATTTGAAGGCGTAATTAATAAAAGTATAAAAACATATAAAAACGTGCTTGTATATCAAAATGTCACCTTAAAGCATGGTGATAAATTGCGCTTTCGCGAGAAGAGATGGCGGGTCATCTTCTCCTTTTGTCATAATAATATCAAATTAAAACAGGAGGTCCGTCTGATTGATGTTTGGTATCGTCAATGCGGATAGAAAAAAACGCGGGGAAAAGAATCCACTTGATTAGTTTATGTATGCGGGATAATGGACCAATCAGTGCATATCGGTGTAACAATTTCAGGTAATATTCTATCATATCCTGGTGTGCATAGTTGTGGTTCAGTGTGATTTTTATGCATACAAATGAGTGCCAAAATCTAAATATTAAGGTCCACTGCAGATTTCGTCAAAATCGCGAGATGTAAATAGGGTTAGGGCACGTGATTGTTGACAGATTGTGGGTTAGGGGTAGGGTTGGGTTACCCCTGTTCACGTCTCGTGACTTTTGACCAAATCTGCAGTGGGCCTTAATGTTTAGAACTAACCAGTTACATCAAATGTCATGAGATATATTAACCATAATATCCTGTATTATATAAAAACATGAAAAGTATTTTTGCAGTTATCAAGTTTCAAAGGCCTAGAATACAATTATTTAGTTCGCTCTTTGTTGGAAATATTGTGAGAACATATGAAACTGACCATTTTAGTCGAATTCACTAAAGATAGGGGAGGAAGGGGACGGGGAGAAACATCCTGTACGGCCCGTAGACCGGAGGGTGGCGATGCCGGCCGGGCATTTTCCCTCCAATAATCTACTTTATATTTGAATTTACCTTTGATCTGTAACTTAATGAATTAATAATAATTTTTAAAAATTTTGTTATGTTATTTATAAAACATTACAATTCAACCAGAACAAAATGAAGGCTGCAGCATGAGAACCTGGGAAAGGTGGCTATACTGGATATACAATGGGACTCAACTTTATGTATGGAAACAACACAAGTTTGTGTATGGAAACAACACAAAATATACCATGAGACAACACAAGTTTCTTAAATTTTGACACAAGTGATGTGTTCATTTCCACACAAGTTTCAACACAAACTTTTATTATTTTCTTAAATTTAACATTTGACACCTAACTTGTGTTGAAAATAGCACACGTTTGTGTTGTTTCAACATAAGCTTTTATTGAGAGTGTATCAAGCTTATTTATTTGGCTCACATCGCTCGACTGTCTCTTTTCTTATATCACTTTGTCGGATATATTAGTAGCTATTTTCGATGATAAATCATAGGCCACTGACAAGACTTGATTGCGAAAGCATATGGCAGTGATATAAGAATGCCCCAAACTGTTTTAATATAGTATGTAGCATATAGCCGTGGTATTTATTCAGAACAATCACCAGAAAACGTCAAACAAAAAATTGCATCGTTCCACTCACCAGGAATTTGCTCTCGTGCCCACCACACTCATTTGTGAACAATCTTATATCCGACCCTGTCCATACGACATATGAGGACGAAGCTTCGCCATAGGCGTACGAGCCAGGGGGGCAGGGGGGGCGGGGGGGTACAGCTGCCCCCCCTCCCTAACTTTCGGGCAAGCTGACTTTTCGGGCAGACGGGTAAAGTGAAAAAACATTTTTATTTCATCTACTTGGCAAAATAAAGTGCCCGAAATCCAATAAAACACTAATTTTACGGGCTGGAATAGCAGTAAAACCTTCGCCGCTGTCTGTAAACCTGAAATTTTTCGGGCATTTCTAATTTTGCTTCCCTAACTGTCATCGAGCCCTAAAAAAACACTAATTTACTTTTCTTTTAATTGAATACCACGAATTTGTACTGAGTTGACTATGGATTAAAACATTTTGTCTGGAGCCACTCTAATTTGTGCGACATTTTTCGGGCATCGATTATTATTTGTGAATGCAGCTGCAACAGTCTGATTGGGTGGTTGGAATTCAGAGTGCGATTTCGGTTACAAAAACATTGGATACTTTTGGAGTTGCTTACACGGGATAGAATAGCAGAAAACGCATTTGCGGTGGTTAAATTTTCAAAATTTTCTCCGGGAGGATGGGTGGGGCCCCATACCCCGCGACGATTGATTGGTTGTTTGGAATTCGGGTCAGCCAGGTAGGCTATATTAAATAATAGGTGGTTTATATCGTAAGATAAAACACAAACATGCCAGAATATTGAGGTAAACTATAGAGTATAAGACCACCCACAAGAAAAAGTACTTTTCAAAACATTCGTTGTGTAATAAAATTATGAACTTTCAGTGAGCTAGCTTGGAATCTTCGAAATGTAATGCTAAATCTGTCTATTGCAGGTCTTTCTTTAGGCCTGAAATGTTATCTAAATTATTAATTAGACATTAATTAACCTATCCAGACCATAATCAACTCTAGATGGTTATGCTAGCCTGCGATCTTTAGTGGATTATGAGCCGATTTACTGCATCGAGACTATGCTGTTTATCGTACTGATGATCGAGGCTAGGCTGAAATTTCTACCGCTTAGTTCTCGGTTCATAGTGGATCAATTTAACTGAAATTTTCAGCAAATTGCCTTTACATTATCTAGTTTTTTTTAACTATTATAGTGGGTACTGCCAACTCGTTATCGAATCTCCCATAATGTTTCTTTTTATAAGGTCAGTCAGAAATAATCAAACCGGACAATAGCTACAACGCACATTGGAAACGCATATTGGCATATTCATCATAACTCTATTTAGCTCACCTAGTGTCAAACACAAACCTTGGCCCAGATAATTATGCTATACAAATCGTCCCTAGCGTTCCACGGGTCAAAATTGTCCAAGAGAACATACACCCGTTAAAGATATAAATATTGTGTTTTTGTGACTCGGTGGGATTTTGTTGCTTAATTATACAATATCAGCGGTCACCACATCCCTAAGTGATTGGTATATTCTGATATTTATTCTATACCATAGTCAACAAATATTTATGTTCATGAAGCAACGACCGCGAGGCGAGTTTTACAACATCTTGATAGGATGTACGGGGTTAAAACGAGATCAAGCCTTTTATTAAAAATGATATACGTTTCTGTGTTAAATCATGAGTAGGTATTCTTGCCTTGTCATACCACCCTGAAAATCCTTATCCTGTACATTTCAAACACATCTACGACATTAGAAAGTGGTTAGATACCCTTTACGTTATATGACAGCGAGATGTGTTTCTCTTCACTTACCACTGTATATGTCAGCAATATAATAAACGTCATCTCTAGTTTAAAATCTCATTCTCATTTAATCCATATTGGTAAGTTACATTAATTTCCCAATTGACTCTAATGTTAACACGTGTTTCTTTGCTCGGTTATAACATTTTCCCCAGTTTTCGTGGGGTTGGGCGTTTTCTTCAACAGATGGGGCAACATGTGGCAACCTCACCATGGAAATATTGAGATACACCAACTGTAAGTAGCATATTTGTGAACATGTATATTCAAACCATTTTCTTCGATTCTACAACAAAACTCGCTATGCTAAGGGGTGAAAAAACGGAAAGGGAGAGAAAGACTATAACTAGAGTTTGCGATAGATTCGTAGGCAATAATACTGTCCTGTTTCCATATTATCTTGATAATGTTCTTTTGCAAATTTGTATGAGGAAATTCTCCAACTTGTCTGCACAAAAATGGTGCTATTTGGTATGGTGATGAAATTGAAAACTAATGTGAAATCCTGGACTTGAACTGATGTACAGCTAGTATATTGCAATATGGTCCATGCGACTAGCGAAAACAAAATTTCAACCTGTTTTGATGACAGGACCAATGCCTCCGAAAATAATTGATCGCTGTAGTACAGTGGTCAGACCGTGGTAACCTATAGCCTGCAGTACGGTGGTCTAAACCTTTTATAACCCATGGGCTGTAGTGCGGTGATCTAAACATTTTGTGACAAATGGAGGGATGCTGAATTTTCCTAAGTATTTAAATCAAGAGTTATTCTGGATCTTTCAAATCATAATTTAATCGAGAAGTATTTCTGAGCACCTACAGTTTCAAGTATTAATTTTTCTAGTCTTTAACTTTTAATTGTTCTTATCGCCATTGCTTTAAATAATGTGTACATACCCTTAATCCCACTGCCAGCACCAGAATAACATATATATAAAACACTCTTAATATCAGCCCAATGGTTTAATCCGTGTGTGTCCACCTTAGTTTACTGACCCACTGCAGATAAAGGTATTCGATATTGGGAATAGATTATTAGTATAAATATTAAGGTCAGTGCTTGACCTTGCCACAAATTAAAAGATATGTCCAAGTGTTGTGGTTCAATGACACAAATAAACAGGTCTAAGAACCCCAACCATTCGGAGAAATCACACTACTACTGAAAAGGGTTTGCCAGTCACATCTTTAGGGACGAACACAATAATTCTGCTTCTTATTAGGTTAGATTGTGCATTAGGTGATATATTTGTCCGTCGGTCATATGCCCGTCCGTCTGTCCGGTGATCAGCATTCTGCTTAAGCTAAGCACGGCGACCTTCGGATGTAGACTATGGTCGCAACTACAGTCTGAACCAGCACCCGAACGCAAAAGGCCCGGACCATTGCCTATTCAATATGGCGGCTCCAATGTCAGTTGTTCCGCCTGCTATATTTTCTTCTATTTACACATGTATTTTAATTTTACACACAGCGATGTGAAAGCAAGTTTATTGAAGTGGGTTACAAAAAGAATTAGTCAATATCAGGATATTTTTCATTGGAATTATGTCACCCAAGATCATTTCACAAAGTTTTTTGTCGTGGGCCTATATATAACACGAATAAGAAAAATCTAATCTGTCAAATTCATCAAGAATGCACAAATCGTGTGTAGATGTTTGCATTAATTCTGCCTGCAGTGGCTCCAGTGTAAAAGTCTATTAAAGGCTAGCCATGGTAACGGTTAGCGTGTTAGCCTTGAGAATGCTGGCAGTTTAAACGTTCCTGTGGAGTTTGTTGCAACTTCCGATTTGCTTTCCACTTTCCTAAATTCACTTATCGAAATAAATAAAACAAAAACAGATTAATTGATTCTGAGTATTATGTAAATTATTTGATCCCGAAATAAAATAAAATCTCTCAAATATCAGCCCACGGCGTTTTCTCTAGAAATTTGTGTCAAACTCCGATACTTCTTCGTCTAGGGCAGTGATTATCAAAAAGTGTTTCGCGAGATCTTCCTAAATGTTCCACGAAATTTTGAAGGCACACTAAGAACGTGCGAATAAACACGTGATCCCAACTTAGTAGTCACTGGTTCATACTAGTAAGTTCATAATTGTTATTTTCTTTTCTTTTTTTAGTTTGAGTCATTCTATGTGTCTATGACTTGTCTTTGTCTTCGGTACTGAGAGCCAACCAGCAGCGCAGAGTGATCGATGGTGCATATAGTACATTGGGTGCGATTGGGTTTTAGTATCACTGGATCTGGTTGGAAGGACAGCAGGGAGGGAGGGACAGGCTGACCACATCATTGTCGTTTTGGCTTTTCCTTGAGTATTTGAGACAACTAATTCTAGGGCTCTTTTTCAGACGAAAGGGCACTTTTTCAGACGCAGGGCACATAGCAACGCACACTCCTATGTATACCCTGGTAGGAAATTTCATCGAATTCGAGTGTTATCTTTTGTTTTTGCATTTATTAGAAAACAGTAGGCCTACTCGCCCAGCACGCCTCTGATACAACGTACGTAGGAATGGGGGAGGATGGGGATATTCTTTTTCCGTTATTTTGTTTTAGTCTTGATAACACTCATATAACTTTTTAAAATTTTAAAACTATTTTTGAACGTATATTTATTTGTTCATGACTTTCCCAGTGGTATCGTTCCCCTAACCCCTGGGTCTATTCACGTGGTATTCACGAATTATTTGCCCTTGGCCACATGAGTTGTTTCTACCTCTTAGCATCATTACACTACAATACAGCACCTTGTACGTTTGATTATGAGAAACGTTGCACGAAATTTAATATCACGGAAATGACAAGCACACAAAAACAAATCCTTTTCACAAAGTTTACAACAATCTTTCGGCGAACTTACTTTCAACGAAATGCGAGTTACCCCTCTTCTGGGAAAAAAATTTAATTGGGCAATATGATCATGTGTCTCACCCGTGAATGAACCCAGGGTTAGTGAAATAGAACGGCATGATACCACTGGGAATATTGAGGATCAGTATTAACATACTATATGAAAGTTATGAATGAATAATAATAATATACTTTCCAAAATTAGTTTGCGGAAAATAGGAATTTTTGCTTTGATCATTTTTGAAGTGATGCAATTTTTGCTAAAACTGTATTCAACAAATAGTTTGTTTTTTTCGTTATGTATTTGTTTTATTCCTATCGCCAAATAGATCAAATAAATGCGATCATTTTGATGTAAAAAAGATCCATGTAATTTTGCCCGTAGCAAAGTTATTCATTATTCGATTTTAATCAAGTTTTCACCATTTGACGCCTAGAGCAAATAGTCAATTTGTAATTTAGTCAATTACAAAATACCGGATGTAAAGTGACGCTATTGTGACATAAACTGTACTTTTAGACGTTAAAAGAATTTTTAAATTGATGTTATCCGTCAATTTGTATTAAGAATATTATTTTTTTTTAACTTCATATAACAAAGAACTTATTTCTCTGTTAAAATATTTAGATGACTACAACAACAAGGTTATTTTGCCAGAAACTGTAATTTTGATTCTTTAAAAATAAAGTTGTGAAAGTGCACATTTTAGTCCATATTTAACTGGAAAATACTATGAGATACACAAACTGGAAGTAGCTTGCAAGTAAACATCCAACACTTTTACCCTTCCACCTCAAAATCATGACTAATCTTCAAAATATACATTTATATTACATTATATGTGTTGCAACCCATTTAGGTCCATTTCTAGGTGCTAAATCATAGGGACTTAGTCCCTTTCACAGTGAAAACAAAACACAAATAAAACATTACAAATATGTTGGTTAAACCATGGGCCTTGTATTATAAGGTCCAACATTGAAGACTATTAAAGTAAAAGACAGTTCGGATAATATATTAACTTTGTCGCTACCCATAACCCCAAACATCTTTAAAACAATGCACGAGAGCAGGACAATCCTGGCACGAGAACTCCTAACATGCACTGAATTTCCGCGAAAAAGCATGACTACTAGAGAGAGCTAGAGACAGAGAAAGGGAGAGAGAGAGGGGGGTGGTTAACGTCCACTTGACGCAAACTAAGTCATTACGGGACTAACGTATGGTTCAATTTTATTTCAATGGGGGAAAACGCGGCACGGGGAAAACCATTGAGGTTTGTCACGTACAAGCGGGGAATCGACACCACGCCACTTGTCTCAATAACAGATCTTATGATCTTACCACTAGACCACACAACCCCAGGAAAGTCACATAATACATAGGGTTTGTCCTCTCATGACCACAATGATTCACACCAAATTTGAAAAGAATTCGTCAAAAGCTACTGTCTCCATCGCGTTCACAATGAAAAGGTGGTATAACTCTGGTTCGAAAGGCTGCTGAACGTTGAATATCAATAGGGTTCATCCTCTTAGGCCCAGGATGCTCCACACCAAATTTGAAAAGAATCCGTCAAAGATTGTAGCCTCCATCGCTTCGAAAGTCAATAGATGACGGATGGGCCGACGGATAGGGTTACGACATAATACACCCACACAGAAATGTGCGCGTATAAAAATCTGTTGAAAAATATAGACTCTCATGCGTTCACAAGACAATTGTTGGCGGGCCGACGGATGGTGTGACGACATAATACGCCCACATATTACGTCACTGGTTCTAGTTTTCTTTTAATGGATCTGACAACATAACTAGCCCTATATAATTGAGTGTTGGGTCTCTAGAAACAATTTGACGACTTGTTACTCTGGTATATATCTCATCACCAACATCTAACTCAAATACACCAGAGATATAACTTGAGTGGAAATCAATGTTACTTCTACGTTGTGTTGATATCTCTGTCAAGGTGTGGACACTTTGTAATAATTTCTCTTCCCCATCATTAGGTAGATTATCATTATACCTGTCTACAATATGACTGATGATTTTTAATCCATCAGGCCAGTTAACATCTTCAATCAGTTTAAAATAAATCTGACTGTAGACCAAATAGATACCTTTAGTTTGAACAATTAGACGATCGTGTTGTAATTTAACCCCTGATAATAATGATAATGATCTGGTAGGTAATAAATTGTGGACAGGTGGAAGGTTGGCAACATCTACAAAAATGAACAGAATATTTAAAATTGATAAAATGAATGATCCCGGACAAATAAATGGTTTGAACAATAGGAATTAACAAACTGTGTAGTACAAGTAGCACATTAAATTTAGCTTCTGTCGCCAGTATTCTTTTAACCCTTCATACGAGGGTCAGCTGAAAAGAACAGCTCAATTGGGTTGAAACAAACTTTTGCAATCATTGAATGAATCATAGACATAGGAACTGCAACTGTAGTGGTATTATTGTCTTCGTACCAGGTCAGCTTGTGAACCTACCCATTGAAATCACCAGAAACGGACAAAACTGGCTATAGGGCGTCATCAGCTCTCTACAGAAAGGACTATAGCCCCAAGAAGTGAGCTGCGAAAATTAAGCGTGGTAGAGAGAGCATTGACGATGTACCGCGTCCTTTAAGAAAATATTACCCGGGTGCATGACATGGTGATGGCTGATCGACGATTGGCCACTCAAAAAATGTCCAGGGTTATTGGCATCTCTCATGTTAAGCATATTATCGCCAACGAGTTAGAAATGACAAAAGTTTCTGCAAGATGGGTGCTAAAGCTCTTGACTGCGGATCAGAAACGAGTCAGGCCCCTGACGTCCCGTGACGATCTGCACCGTTTTGAAACAGATCCTGATAATGTTACGGCCAGATTTGTAGCCATGGACGAGACCTGTTTCAAAAAATGATCCAACGGTTGCCATTCAAGACACGCCTAGATTTTGCAAATGGGAAGAAATGAAATGAAATGAAATGGGGTTTAACGCCCTACTGTTCTGCTCCGAAGATGATGGAGAACAAGCTAAAAAGAAAGTGATTTTTCGTACAATCAGGGGCCATAATCCAGTGAGTTATGGTCTAAAATGCGTGAATATCGAAAGGAACCGAGATCGTTGGGTTATAAATATACATTTTAAGTTTCACGAAATTCGAACACAGTCATCATATGGATATAAACATATATTTTAAGTTTCACCAAAATTGTGACCTTTAGGGTGTTCACAAGCTTCGTATTACATACTTTTACACTATTTCCGTACAAGGAGCGACCATTTTGTCGGGAAGTTTCGTTTCGGCTTTCCCATAATTTGAACTCAACCTTCATTATGGTGTAACGGTGATATATCTAAACGGTTTTTAAAATTGTGATCTCTACAGGATCCATAAGCTAAAAATGTAATTTTTCGTACAATCAGGGACAATATTCCCGGAAGTTATGGTCCAATATATGCGAATATCGAAAGGAAACAAGACCTTTGTGATATTAACGTATGTTTTAAGTTTCATGAAAATCGAATAAAAATTGTGACCTCTATAGGGTCCACAACCTTGATATTCCATACTTTAACACTATTTGCGTACAGGGAGCGGCCATTTTGCCCGGACGTTTCGGTCCGATTTTCACGAAATTCGAACTCAACCATCATTATGGTGTAACTGTGATATATTCGAGCGTTCTTTTTTAAATCAGATAAAAATTGTGAACTCTAGAGGGACCACAAGCTAATAATGCGATTTTTAGTACAATCAGGGGTCATAATCCAGACAGTTACTGTCCGATATGCGCGAATATCGAACGGAACCGAGATCTTTGGATTATAAACATATTTTTCAAGTTTCATCAAAATCAGATAAAAATCATGACCTCTAGAGTGTCCACAGGCTAAAAACGCGATTCGTCGTACCATCAACGGCCACAATCCATGAAATTACGGTTCGATACATCCCAATATGGAAGGAGGGTGGGATCTTTTGAAGATAACTTATATTTCAAGTTTCGTCAAAATCGGATAAAAATTGTGACCTCTAGAGGGTCCACAAACAAATCGTGGATGTACCGACGGACGTCCGGGCGAACAGAGGCGACGACAATATACGTCATTTTCCTAGTAATGATGACGACATATCAGCTGTGAACAACTTGTTTTAAGGTCTGGCCGGCATTCAGTGGAAACCATCGACTTCGTACAGGTCTTCTACAGATTGCCCTAGAACCTTTCAGTCAGCCCTCGTATATTCATTCATGAAATGATGCGTATACTAACCGTTTATTCTTGGGTTGTTTTGATGATCAGAAAGATCAGTACCAATTAACATGTGAGCTGCTACTGGTGTCTTGTGTAAGAGACTAAATGTCACGTCTTCTGAAAAGAGTAATTGGGGTTATGTAACACTATAGTTATAGTTTTTGTTTGGGTAATCAATTTATTTATTTTTTTATTTTTTTTTACATTTGTTTATTTTGTGAGTTTTGTTTATTTTTTGCTGTTGTTCTTCTAAATACGTGATTATATAGCAGAATAGAAAACAGCTGTTATACACTTCAAAAACAGTAGGGGATATTCAGAAACAATACAAAACTGCGAAAATGCATTGCTGTTTTTATTATAGGAACCAGTGTATCTTAATAACAGGCCAATTGCCTACACATGAACATAAACAGTTCATATGGGCGGCTTATCTGACGGACCTATTTCACTCGCAAAGATATACACTGTCAAAAGTGAAAATGGGCGTTTTTGATTTTTGTCTTAAGAATGAGTAATTGCTCCACCAATACTCAGACATTCAGCAATTCGTCGTGGCATGCTACTAATCAACAGTCCAATCATGATTTGTGGCAATTTGACCCACTCCCCTTGCAGTGCCACGGCCAATTCTTGCAGTGTTGTCGGTTGACGTTGACGTCGACGAACACGTCTCCCGATCATGTCCCAGACATGGTCTTTAGCGAAAAGGTCAGGACCCATGGCTGGCCAAGGCATATGGACAATATGGTGACGCTGAAGGTAGTCATTCAGGACACGAGTGCGGTGGGCACGGGCATTATCATCTTGAAAGATAAAACGGCGACCTGCACGTTGAACAAAGGTCAGAACTATCGGTGCCAGGATGTGGTCACGGTACACACCAATGACCCTTCCTTGGACAATATGTAAGTCCGTTTTGCCAGCCATGGTGATTCCTCCCCACACCATAACAGACCCACGCCCGAATCTGTCTGAGGTTAACGTTAGCATGACGCTCATTTACACGCCTCCAAACGCGAGCACGCCTATCGGTGAAATCCAAAGTAAATCTGGACTCATCGAGAACATTACACGCGCCCATCGACGATTTGTCATGTGCTGGCGAGTTAATGGAGGCATGCATGTAGACGATTTCTATTCGTTTGGGGTGTAACTCGAATTCCCGCAACTTGATACAAGTTTACAGAAAGCTGATTGACCGTTTGTGCTCGATTTCACAGGACCTGTGTAAAAAGGTATCGGTCCTGGGCTTGTGTAGTGGCTCTAGGACGACCTGAACGAGGTCTATCATCAATATTGTGTGTTTGTTGGTACCGGTTCCACAGTCTGCTGATCACAGACTGTGACACATTAAGCATGTTGGCTACTGCTCGCTGTGTAGAACCCATTTGATGCATGCCAATAGCACGTAGACGTTCATCATGTTGAAGATGTCTCATTGCAAATTAAACGTAGCACACTAAAGCAAAGATACGCTAAACAGTAAATCTTATGCAAGAACCGATAGGAAAGCAAACATGGATAGGATAAACCAGTACGCGGCAGTTTTGTTGGGCGACACTTTCTTCATCTGTGAACATACACTCAAAGCATGTCAAGTGTTCATGACTATTTATCATATCACAACCTGCATAGATATTTGCATTTCAATATCCCCTACATTTTTTGAAGAGTATATATTACATATAGATAACCACAAGCTATTGTCTAGATGAACGCCGGACCGGGTGGCATGGAAACACTTTTATAATCTCCCCATCTTCTCGTAATTATGTCGGACTACAATCACGCATGCTTACTCTTTTGAACCCCCCAAAAATGTCAGAGGTATTAATTACTTGACTGGTCAAATATACGATGAATATCGAAATATGGAAACAGCTAAAACAACAATATGTCTATATTTGTAGAACGATCGTTGAGCATGCTTTTGGGTGGATTTGGCGTTCCACAAATTATGTCCATTATCATTATCATCTTTGACATCATGTTTGATAATCAGCAATGGAATCTAGATGGCACCCTGTTTATGATTGCGGTTGATGACAGACATAACTCGAAAAACAAGTTCATTACAAAGTAGAAATAGCTATCATAATATCAGAATTCTTGGACATTCGCTATCAATATTGTCCTTTGGATGGCATCAATTATATTACACCAAGGAGTCTAGTGAAACAAAACACCGAGAGGTGTGTAACACACAACTTGGTTATTTATATAGACTTTTTATACAATAATAAAGAAATTAAATATATTTCGCGAAACATGTCCTGAAATCAGCAAATGATATTTAGATGTAGTGCAGGTATAAATTTAAAATAAACCAATATAAATAATAGTAACGATAAATTATACATACTTGATACGAGTCTCTTTAACTGAAGGCTGTCTTGCATCTAAAAGTAGACAATTATATATCCTATTTAAACATGCATTATGCAAGAACTAAATCTGCCTACTGCAGGTCTTTCTTTAGGTCTGAAATGTTATCTAAATTATTAATTAGACATTATCCAGACCATAATCAAGTCTCGATGGCATCACTAGCCTCCGATATTTACTGTATTATGATCCGATCTGCTGCTCTACGCTCATTCATGATTAAATCAAGAAAAATGGATAATCGAGACTATGTATTTTATCGTACCGACTTTAGTACTGATGATCGAGGCTAGGCCCAAAATTCAATCGCTTAATTCCCGGTTCAGAGTGGATCAATTTGATTGAAATTTGACTTTACCTTATCTAGTTTTTAAATATGATAGTGGAAACTGCCAGCTCGTTATCTAATCTCCCATAATGTATCCCTAAATGTGAGTATTCAACTCAACATTGCAAGAAATATTAGATAGGGTAGATTACATATTAAAAGACATGTAGGCCTATCTAAATAAATATATTTTTATGTACATTAAAATCTAAATCGGTAAACTATTAAATCCGTAGAGCGCAACTATCTAATATATGATACACCCCAAACATAACACAAAATAGAGAATACAACATAAAATGTCACGGTAGAGCTCTTTAATAACAACAAACAATCGAGTGGTGTTAGTCGCTTCGGAAAGAGTAAGACTACCCGTGCACAACAATCGTCACCATATATAATTAGGATCATACACAATGTCTTTGCTACTCGTGGATTTATATTTGTTTCAATTCCAATAAGACGATACCCCACTGAAATATGTTGAAAAATGGACAAATTGTCATGCATTGTTAGTATATATTTCATACAAAATGTGTATCTGGGAGATATTGGATTGTACAATTAATGTGTACTAATATAAGCAACTGAGACAATTAGTAGTAGGCATATCCGGAAACGGGATGAAAGTAACAGCCATGATATAATCTTTATGTTTACATCTGCTATCATGTTGCAAGTTCACCAACGAACATTGTTTTGTTGGCATTATCACTAATTTACGTTATTCTGTGTTTTACCCTATCACCTGACTTTCCCTTTGAAACAAGCGGTTGCCATGCAAGTTACGTTCACATTTGGCAGAGATGAACAGAGAACAAGCTGCAAGCGACTTTTCGTAAATTTAAGGGCCATAAACCAGCATGTTACAATATCAAAAGGAACCAAGATCTTCGGGATATAGACATACATATTAAGTTTCATCAACGTCGAATAAAAATTGTGACATCTAGGGGGACCACAAGCTAAAAACGTGATCTTTCGTACAATCAGGGGGTCGAAGTTATTAATATACATTTGAAGTTTCATCAAATTCGGATTAAAATTGTGACATCTATAGGGTCCACATCCTTGGTATTATGTACTTTTACACTTTTTGCCAACGAGGAGCGGCCATTTTGTCGGCCAGTTTTAACCCGATTTTCACGAAATTCGAACTCAAACGTCATTAGAGAGTAACGGTGATATATTTGAACGGTTTTTAAAATCGGATGAAAATTGTAACCCCTGGGGGGACAACAAGCTAAAAATGTGATTTTTCGTACAATACTTTTACACTATTTGCGTACGAGGAGCGGTATTTAGTTGAACTTCGAACACAACCTTCATTAGGATGTAACTGTGATATATTTGAACGGATTTTAAAATCTGATAAAAAATTATGACCCCTAGTGGAACTACAAGCTAAAACCGCGATATTTCGTTCAATCAGGTGCCATAATCCAGGAAGTTACAGTTCGGTATGCGCGAATATTGAAAGGAACAGAGATCTTTGGGTTATAGATATACATTTTATGTTTCACGAAATTCTAACACAGTCATCATTAGGGTGTAACGTTTATATATTAAAACGGCTGTTAAAATCGGATAAACATTGTGGCCTCTTAGAGTGTCCACAAGCTAAAAATCTGATTTTTCGTATATCACATGTGAAGTTACGGTCCGATATATGCCATTATCGAAAGAAACCGAGGTCTTTGGACATAAACCTATATTTCAAGTTTCGTCAAATTTGTGGACAGACGGACAGGGGTGACGACATATACGTCCACATGAAAGTGTGGGCGTATAAAAACCCATTTTACGTCATTCCGGATAACGTCTATTGAAAGTAAGGGTATTCCCCAGCTATGTCCTATGACAGTTGAAGAAGGATAATACAGGTGATCAGTGTATAATATCTTTCCTGTTTTTTTTTAAGAAAAACATTTCTAGGTCAAAGAAGCCGGTCCAGATCTTACTGAGTATTCTGCTCCAACCTAGATAATAATGGCGAATATACGCCATGCGGTGCCTATTGTCGAAATTTCGCGCATTACATTCTAACTGTCAAGGGCTTTAATACGTCTATGCCAACGTTTACACGGGACTTCAGTTGTTTGTACAATCCGAACAACTTGACGCTGTTCCGATGCTGACCTGGGAAAACCAAACTGGAAAATTTTGACGAAATGTCCCGGCCAACTTCGGGTTTGGACCCGGCATCCCCCCAGACTAGTGAACCGGTGTCTTACTCACTGAGCCACCATGGCTCCGGTATACACTGATAAAGTGAATTTATGATTCAACACCAAAATGTAATGCAATAATAGCAGAACTGTAGAATCTGTCTACGGCCCACCACTCGGATTAGCAATATTATGTTTGCAGTGAATATACAGGTTGATAAATATACCTGTATATAGAAAGTGGAAGTAGCGATGCCCAGACTCTACTAAGTATGGTGTTTCGGACTATACCATGCATACAGAAATTGGAAGTAGCTATACCCAGACTATACCATGTATGGTGGTGTTTCAAAATATGCCATGCATACAGAAAGTGGAAGTAGCTGAGGTGTTTCAAAATATACCATACATGGTAGCTGTACCCAGACTATATCATGTATGGTGTTTCAGGAACGAAACCATTCTCCACACAAGTCTGCTTATCCGGCATTAGAGTGGTTCACAGCTCAAATATTTGTCCTTATAAAAAATTTGACACACTTATGTGCCATACTGCATCACCGAGGAGAATAAAACAACCAAGAGACAACCCAAAGGGTGTTATATATAAAATAAAATGTGAGTGTAATGACGCGTATATTGGTGAAGCATCCCAACCAATTTCAGTGCGAATTGGGAACACATAGCAATTGCAGAACATATTTACAAAAATCCGCAGCATGATTTCAAATGGGAAAAACGAATATTCTAGCCAGGACTTGCCAGTGTGGAAAAAACAGAATTTTCCGAGAAGCCAAGATATATGGTAACATAAGCCTAAATTTAACAGAGAAACAGGACATGTTCTCCCAAATCTTTGGGTAGATTTACTTAATCCTAGTGTGTGGTTAATGTTTTCTCCCCCAAATGTTTGTTAACTTATCATTATTTGCTTGATAACGATACCTGAATGTGTATTGAAACGTAGCATGTTAATAAAATTCATGAACCACTCTACAAATATGCGAGTTTGGGCTGCAACGGGAAACCACTCGTTTGGGAGATTGGGGCGAAACGCGAGATATAAATAGAATCTACATGCCTTTTTAAACAGCAGGCGTACAGTATCGCAGTGTGATTATCCTTACATGCACTAGCCTTGGTTGTAGTGACATTAATTCTTTCACTGTTTTTATTTATTGTACATATATTTATTTCACTGTGTGATACTATTTTATATACACTTCAACCTTACTTATATTATAGTCTTGATTTATAACCTGTTTTTCACCTTTATTATAAATAACCGATGGTAACTCTTGTCACTCCATTTAAGAGTGCCTGTAGTCTGACCGTAACATTAACTAGTGTTATTTACTTATTCGATGATATTAAAGGAGAAATTAGAGATATATTTCAGTGAATTTATATAAATCCTAAGCAAATGTCTTCAGCCCTATGATAATTTTTGAGAAATGCCAACGTTCAGTGGAGATGGGTTTAGGACCGTAACTAGCTTAGATTAACGAGGGGGCGGGAAGTGTCCTCGGGGGTGCTGTAAAATTGAAGGACAATGTATATCTAGGGTTTTTTATGGTCGACAATTTTTTTCACAGGGGGGGAGGGGTAAGCCCCCCCCCCCAACACACACACACACACACACACCCACACACACACACGCACACACCCACACATAGTTACGGGCCTGGCAGGGTCCGTTTTTTCCAGGCGAATTCATGTCTTGAACTAATACTTTCTGACATAATCGAAGGGCTATATTTTCAGTTTTTGGTATTTTTAAACGGTTGCCGGATACCCTGTGCCTTTAAAAAATTAAAAACATATTACAGTTTTATACTATCAGTGTTTAGTTTTACGCTTCTCTTATTTCTAATTACAAACTGTATGGTTGATATCTTTGTAAATATCTGTTTCCATACATGTACAACCATGCCTAAAGCTTTATTGAATTTTTTGCAATTTTATTTTTAGCAAGGGTCCCTCGGGTACATGATCATAAAGCAGAGCATAACCAGTTTATTTTATATAGCTATTAAATGTTGTTGTATTAATGATTAGTGACATAAATCGTCGTGTCTGGAATATATTTAAACTAAAATTATCTTAAGATACTGTTTTGTAAATAGGTAAAAATTAAAAATAGCTATCTTCAATGGTGTTTCGGTGCAAAGTCATGTACCTTAAGCAAGTAGGGTATTCCTAATTTTTAAAGTTTGAAAATAATGATAATGTTGAAACTGGGTATTAAGCAGATGTTTCGTGTAAGATGGTTAATTTTATAACGAAAAAGCCAAGCTTTAGATTTGGGTCATAGTGCATCGCCTCGTTTCCCACCTGTTCATCTTTCGTGCATCAAATAAATTCGGAATAATTAAAATGCAACTACAGGTCCTCAGATATGGCGCAAATTTAGCATACAATCCAGTTTGAACACCTCCGAGTCCATTTCTTCAAATGAAAAATTAATAATTGTGTATTAACAGAGAGTACTGACTGCTTCGGAAATTACAGTTCAAAACCGTCGAAGATAATTTCAAATAGACCTCACAAATATTCTACAACACTAAATTGCAGAAAATAAATAGGAGTCTTCAATGATAATAACAATTGTCTTACATAGTATGTTATTAGGAGGTTAATTACGTGTGTCAATTGCTAAATACCGCTCAAAGAAGATTATTGTGAGGTGTGGCCATTCCAAGCTGGATTGTCCGAAATGGTCGAAAATCATAGGACATAACCGCTTATTACAAAATCGGTTTACGTTTAGCGCTCTGTCTCAAATAAAGGGCATGTGACATGTATCTCATTTAGCCGTGGTCACAATAATTGTTGTCTCGAGAGTGTTAATAAGACATATACAACGGATAGGATGAATACGGTATATAACCACAATAAGATATGGACGTAGATTTGTACACAAATAATACAAACATTTCCAGGCTGGTAGTACGTGTTAAAACACATAAAATCATTAATCCGACCCTTAATAGATGTTGACTGACCCGGCGCGTATTAGTAATACGGTACCGAAACAAATTGTTACTTAAAAAAAAAATAATGCCACCCTAAAGCTTATCACTGATAATTAAATTGGCTAGACTTCTTTGATTAATGACAAATACGTCGTTATTTGGCTCAATTATCTGGCCTTTTCCCAAAAACTATAGCTACAAAAAAACAGCAACCATATCAAGCCAAATTTACAGGGTTTTGAAGTGGCAAATTTTGGTTGGAAAACCAAAGTGGTCATATAAATATTCATGTAGCAGTACTCCAACATCATAGATTTTTAAACCTGCTTTAGGATACAAATCATTCAGACAACGGAATTCAGATTCACAATATTTGATATTCAGTATAACTGAATTCAGTTATTCTTAACATCACTTTCTGGTACTTCATCAATTGATTATTCTTAAGTTGTCGTGAAGAACTTTGCCACTCAGCTATTCGTAGTTTTGGGGGCAGTTGTTATTTCTTGTACCACTTCCTACGTAATGCATTAATAAAATCCCCAGTCCATCAACGTCGGATCAATGGGCAACAGAACAGCGAGAGAATCAAAATTGCCAAGTACCAGTACCGCTTTAACAATGTTGACAGATTTTCGTACCCTTAAAGATGATTTATGTAACATTTATATACCGAGCTGGCCGTCCTTGCTATAATAGATCAAAAATAGATAATGCAAAGTTAATTTTGAAGATATAGCGTAGATTGATTATAGCCTAGCGAGTTGATTAGGGATTGTCATGTTATTAAATGTTTAAATAATAGTTTATATAACATTTGAAGCCAAATACAGACCAGCAATAGGCATATTTAACGCCAACATAATACAATTATCATTTCGGTATATCCTGATTAACAAATTAGTGTCACGGTTTTTATAATTTGGAAGCGGTCTTTGTACTTACCTTTTTCATCAACCATGTATATTGTTCTGGTGTTTTAGCACAACATTTTAACTTGTCCTCTTCTCTTCTAATTACTGCAACTTCCTTCACCTGGTTGTTGATAGAGCTTGCATATAACTCTGAACACTCCATACAAAACTCTGGTAAATCTTCTGAAACTGAAACTTTAGTCTCGAGAAGTCTGACTTTCAAATATAAATATACAAGAGCCAGACCAAGTGAGAGAGTAAAGAAAGAAATAAAAATGGATACTACAACACGTCTCAGATAAGATCGACTTATCGTTTTAAGATCGGTTGCTACATCAATTTCTATTTTCGGTAACAGCAGACCTTCTCCATCTTGGGAACTCAAAGTATTACTGGGAACTTTCGTCGGTATTCCAAGGGATGGTTTGCCCATTTTGGGTAATAAATATTAAATCATCAAATGTTGATGTCTGAAAGAAAAAATGTAAAATGATCACAATTTAAACAAACAAAAGCAGTAAACCGCGATTCCAAACGGGGGTAAACATTTATGTCAAAACAGTTTTTATCCTTATTCCACTCCATTTTTGGGGGATCGTGTGGCCGAATGGTTGACGCGTGCGCATTGCATCATAAGGTCAATCATTAAGTCATATGGCGTGGTTTCGATTTCCCGCGTGTACGCAACAAGGAATAGTAGAGCTTGCCCAACCTCGTTGGTTTTCATCGAGTAACGGTTATATATTTGAACAGTTTTGAAAATAAGATAAACATTATGACGGGCCCATAAGCTAAACACGTGATATTTCATAATCACGGGGTCATAATCCAGAAAGTTACGGTCCAATACGAGCCAATATCGAAAGGAACCCAGATCTTTGGGATAGAAATATATATTTTAAGTTTCATCAAAAAAATTATGTAGGCTATGAGTATAGTGTGTAAATCTTAGACAATTTTTTAGCTTCATTAGTCAATGTATTATCGTTGAGTATCTGGAAAAAAGCAATTTCTATTGGTGAAAACTGTGTTGCCTCAGACTGGACTGAGATGCAGAGCAACAAGATGTAATTTAAGTCGATTAAAAGGACCGCCTTCCTCACACTATGATAAGGAATCACATGATAACCAATGGGGATGTGTACAAGATTGGCTGGACATGGAAAAAAAACTACATGTAACCCACCATGAGAGACAAAGAGAACACTCCTACCAAACTCTATTGCATAAGAACCTTTTATACCTTCTATACCATTCGATTTAGAACTGAAGTAGGGTATTTTAAAATTCGACTTTATAATCGCAATCTACATGTGCAAAAATGACTGGAAATGGAGAAAAACTTACTTAAATAAGAGAAAAGGGAAATAAAAAAGGAAATACCCTAAAATAAAATACGTGTAATAAGAAAAAAAAAATCCACAAGTCGGACTCGAACCCAGGCCGCTATCAATCTACGGATTCAGTTGCGCACCGCTCTAACTGCCAACAAGCAATCTTACCTCCATGGAAACGGTTGACCAATCATAGGCCGAATAGAAGTGCAATGGCTATGTGAGTTGGGAAAAACAATTCGCACCCGGGCCGTTAATAATTGTAGCCTACTTCCGAGTCAAGAAAGCGAGAAGTCGAGTGCGCGAATTTTGAAAGGCGAGAAAGTGAGAAGTAGAGGTAAAAATAATCACGTGTTCTCGTGAAGAGATCCTCACATTACTGCTGAAAGTGCCTTTTCTCAGACCCAAATATGTCCGTTCCCAACCCGTTGCAGGGATCCCAAATGACTCAAACCATCGACTCAAACACACCAGTCTGGTCTAATTAATGATTCCACTTTCAAACGAATTCTTGTTGTTTAGCTGACGGTGCCCTAATCCTATAGAGTGACTATAGACAGACATCAATGATAGCATCTTGTGGAATCGGCGGCGTATACACACATGCCCATCACCGACTCGCATGAGTGCAACTTGATGTAGCATTGTTTCATGTGTGGAGAGTACACAGTACAAGTTACAAGGCTTAAATAGTGAAGTGGCTTGGAAAGATTCGTCTTTTTTCACATCATAATGCCTCGATCGCCTTGACAATTTTCGAGTCGCATGTTCAACTGGATTTTTTGCTCGATTTTAAGGCTCTTTTTCAACGATTTCCGAACGTTTACTTAGACGAAAATATCAGCCAAATAGCTCTTGGAATGGCTACAGATGCAAGCAAATGACGGATAATTTTCTTGGGGGGAACCTGCCCGCCCCAAGCCCCCCTCTCAGTGGCGTGCCCCGTCTCCGCGGTCAGTGCACTCATTTTGCGGCGCCTACCTTTTCAAAATTCCTAGCTCCGCCCCTGTTTTGGCTATTTTTCTCTCGCACTCGACTTTTCGCTTTCTCGCTCTCGACTTATAATTTGGCCGCAATAGGTTTCCATACGCAATAGGCTTCCACAGTCTGCTATCGAACTTTCATCGATCCATAGAACCAGGCCTGCATAGAATGATCGTTCGACGATTAGTTACTGTGGGCAACTGTGCATTTGAAAAACCGTCGATATTCTGCATTCATTAAAAAGGGGGTTCGAAAATGTCATGAGCTGCGAGCATAACATTATAAGATATGCACTGGGTAATTAAAGTCAAGGTCACTTCGACCTATTCTGCAAAATATAAACATACAGTTGTCATCTTATGAATCGTGTACATATAGCTTAACAACCTGATATACAAAGAAAATCTCAACAGTTACGTAGATTATACAATCTAATGCTCCTTCGCCCATGAATTTCTGGTGAATAATCAAAGCGTATACCAATAATTATAATATATGTTACATAACAAGAGACTTGCCTGCAGAAGGTTTCGGGTGGAAACATTGAATTGTGCGCATGTCTGGAATTTTGTTATACGGCGACCTCACTCGGCAAACCTCGGCAGATTCCGGAACCCTACATACTAGGCGACCTTCGGTTATCGTGATTTCTTGACTATGATCGAACTAACTGAATCCGAATTTCATTTAGACCGGACCATAGTCCGAAAATACTGAACCATGCTATTGTAGCATGGTCGGAGTAGTTCCAAGATGGCGGTGTCAAGGAAACGAAAGTGTAGAATATGTAGAAAGAATCTATTTTTGTTAAGTATATGATTTTAAGAAAGCTTGAATGTATTTTAAATGGTTGCTACGTCTATGAGCAGATAATTTTGTCTCGTATGTTATGTCTGAATCTATGTAAATCTAAAAATTACGCATTATTTCAATATTTGCGCTATGCAAAAAGTAAAGTCAAGTTACAAGGAATTTTGTCGTCTCTAAAATTAGTTTGATTCGCGCAAATTTAACTTCATGAAAGTATTATTTGTTTATGAAACTATGTAACACAGCGATTCATTATCCTCCATGGAGCGATGTATAGACCTTCCTTGGGGTTAAGTTTTTTTTTTCAGGGTTATGCTCTAGGTCTAAAGCAAAGTAAAATGTCATCACCATGTCCCTGGGGGCAGCCATCTTTGAACAGACGATGGTCAGGACCATTCGCGTTCGATTTCTAGTTCCGACCACTAGTCGTGAAAAAATTATAACCGAAGGTCGCCCAAGATGTAGGGTACTGGAATCTGTTGAGGTTTGCCGAGTGACGGCGACCTATATATCACAGAATAAAAATACACCACAGGACAGAGTAAAAATACACAGAGTGGCTACTCGCATTACGGCCACTGATCTATATAATAACTGGATAGCTCATTGGCTGAGATGTGTTAAGTCACCGGAAGTACCAATTCCGCCATGTTACAACTCTCAAAACATTGGTTCCTACCGTTGACGTAGTTGTATTTACCCCAAAGTAAACTTCGATAATTAATACCGTTAGTTGTTCTTAAAATAATCATAAATTTTCAAAATTAATTACAAGTTATCCTGAATGAAATGTGCGGCAGTTGAGTGAGTTTATGAAAATAAAATAAACTAAAACGTGAAAATCACCGTTTACGTGGGCATGCCTTGCTCTTTCTTTTCATTCATAATGATAATCATAATCATAAATATGATCGCATGGATGGTAAATAGAAGACGTAAATCAGTCCTATTATTTTAACGAAACTTTTCACATCATAGAGGAAGGAAGGAGAAATGAATTCACGGGTGAAAAGAAAAGCAAATAAAAACAGATCGACTTTATTTATAGATTAAGCATTAAGGCCAAACATGCAGCTATTTATAGGCCTACCATAAGGCAACAGTCATATTTATGTATTTTAATATAGTTCTTCAAGTTTTCTTTTCTTTTTTTAATATATATATATTTCTTCTTTTATATTTATTTATTTGCTATTGACTTTGATTTAAAAAAAAAAGAAATTGGACACATATTTAGGCCTATATAATAGCCTTTTTTAAAAAAATAATCTCTACATCCTGGGCTTTTTTCCTCTAGAATTAACTGTAAAATTACAGAATAGTAAAGAAGACAATGAGTTAAGACTTAGCCTATAATAATATAGTCCTATAATAATATGTATTTTTAAAGAATAAATTTGGACAGTGAATAAACAGTGAAAATACAGAATTGTAAAGTATGAGAAGAAAATGGGATATAAGCAGGACTATGCAATGAGTAAGGGTCTTTTAAGAAGAAAATAGGATATAGGCCTAAGCTATGGAAGTGGTTTTTTTTATCATACAATTACCTAATGTATCTTTAAACTTTTCAAAAAATATAAGAAAATACAGAATAGCAACAAAAAAAAACAAAAAACAAAACAAAAAAAATTCTTTCTTGTTACATGCATGTACATGTATATGTTGATTATATTTCGTTCATTTTTATTTATTTCCCTTTTGTTTGTTTAAACATCAGTGAAAAAGAAGTAATAAAAGAAGCTAGACACATATCATATACACATAGACCTATAATTTTTTTTTATTATGTGAATAGCCCATATTTTTTTAAATAAAGACTTTAAAATTACTGATTATTCTGTCTAAAAGTTTGCATAAGAATCTTTTATACCTTCTATACCATTCGATTTAGAACTGAAGTAGGGTATTTTAAAATTCAACTTTATAATCGCAATCTACATGTGCAAAAATGACTGGAAATGGAGAAAAACTTACTTAAATAAGAGAAAAGGGAAATAAAAAAGGAAATACCCTAAAATAAAATACGTGTAATAAGAAAAAAAAATCCACAAGTCGGACTTGAACCCAGGCCGCTATCAATCTACGGATTCAGTTGCGCACCGCTCTAACTGCCAACAAGCAATCTTACCTCCATGGAAACGGTTGACCAATCATAGGCCGAATAGAAGTGCAATGGCTATGTGAGTTGGGAAAAACAATTCGCGCCCGGGCCGTTAATAATTGTAGCCTACTTCCGAGTCAAGAAAGCGAGAAGTCGAGTGCGGGAATTTTGAAAGGCGAGAAAGTGAGAAGTAGAGGTAAAAATAATCACGTGTTCTCGTGAAGAGATCCTCACATTCTGCAGAGGCGGATCGAAGGGCCGCGCGAGGGGGGCGCCCCCGCCCCACCCCCTAATTTCCGACAGTGCACTTTTTTACTGCTGAAAGTGCCTTTTCTCAGACCCAAATATGTCCGTTCCCAACCCGTTGCAGGGATCCCAAATGACTCAAACCATCGACTCAAACACACCAGTCTGGTCTAATTAATGATTCCACTTTCAAACGAATTCTTGTTGTTTAGCTGACGGTGCCCTAATCCTATAGAGTGACTATAGACAGACATCAATGATAGCATCTTGTGGAATCGGCGGCGTATACACACATGCCCTTCACCGACGCGCATGAATGCAACTTGATGTAGCATTGTTTCATGTGTGGAGAGTACACAGTACAAGTTACAAGGCTTAAATAGTGAAGTGGCTTGGAAAGATTCGTCTTTTTTCACATCATAATGCCTCGATCGCCTTGACAATTTTCGAGTCGCATGTTCAACTGGATTTTTTGCTCGATTTTAAGGCTCTTTTTCAACGATTTCCGAACGTTTACTTAGACGAAAATATCAGCCAAATAGCTCTTGGAATGGCTACAGATGCAAGCAAATGACGGATAATTTTCTTGGGGGGAACCTGCTCGCCCCCAAGCCCCCCTCTCAGTGGCGTGCCCCGTCTCCGCGGTCAGTGCACTCATTTTGCGGCGCCTACCTTTTCAAAATTCCTAGCTCCGCCCCTGTTTTGGCTATTTTTCTCTCGCACTCGACTTTTCGCTTTCTCGCTCTCGACTTATAATTTGGCCGCAATAGGTTTCCATACGCAATAGGCTTCCACAGCCTGCTATCGAACTTTCATCGATCCATAGTTCGACGATTAGTTACTGTGGGCAACTGTGCATTTGAAAAACCGTCGATATTCTGCATTCATTAAAAAGGGGGTTCGAAAATGTCATGAGCTGCGAGCATAACATTATAAGATATGCACTGGGTAATTAAAGTCAAGGTCACTTCGACCTATTCTGCAAAATATAAACATACAGTTGTCATCTTATGAATCGTGTACATATAGCTTAACAACCTGATATACAAAGAAAATCTCAACAGTTACGTAGATTATACAATCTAATGCTCCTTCGCCCATGAATTTCTGGTGAATAATTAAAGCGTATACCAATAATTATAATATATGTTACATAACAAGAGACTTGCCTGCAGAAGGTTTCGGGTGTAAACATTGAATTGTGCGCATGTCTGGAATTTTGTTCTACGGCGACCTCACTCGGCAAACCTCGGCAGATTCCGGAACCCTACATACTAGGCGACCTTCGGTTATCGTGATTTCTTGACTATGATCGAACTAACTGAATCCGAATTTCATTTAGACCGGACCATAGTCCGAAAATACTGAACCATGCTATTGTAGCATGGTCGGAGTAGTTCCAAGATGGCGGTGTCAAGGAAACGAAAGTGTAGAATATGTAGAAAGAATCTATTTTTGTTAAGTATATGATTTTAAGAAAGCTTGAATGTATTTTAAATGGTTGCTACGTCTATGAGCAGATAATTTTGTCTCGTATGTTATGTCTGAATCTATGTAAATCTAAAAATTACGCATTATTTCAATATTTGCGCTATGCAAAAAGTAAAGTCAAGTTACAAGGAATTTTGTCGTCTCTAAAATTAGTTTGATTCGCGCAAATTTAACTTCATGAAAGTATTATTTGTTTATGAAACTATGTAACACAGCGATTCATTATCCTCCATGGAGCGATGTATAGACCTTCCTTGGGGTTAAGTTTTTTTTTCAGGGTTATGCTCTAAGTCTAAAGCAAAGTAAAATGTCATTACCATGTCCCTGGGGGCAGCCATCTTTGAACAGACGATGGTCAGGACCATTCGCGTTCGATTTCTAGTTTCGACCACTAGTCGTGAAAAAATTATAACCGAAGGTCGCCCAAGATGTAGGGTACTGGAATCTGTTGAGGTTTGCCGAGTGACGGCGACCTATATATCACAGAATAAAAATACACCACAGGACAGAGTAAAAATACACAGAGTGGCTACTCGCATTACGGCCACTGATCTATATAATAACTGGATAGCTCATTGGCTGAGATGTGTGAAGTCACCGGAAGTACCAATTCCGCCATGTTACAACTCTCAAAACATTGGTTCCTACCGTTGACGTAGTTGTATTTACCCCAAAGTAAACTTCGATAATTAATATCGTTAGTTGTTCTTAAAATAATCATAAATTTTCAAAATTAATTACAAGTTATCCTGAATGAAATGTGCGGCAGTTGAGTGAGTTTATGAAAATAAAATAAACTAAAACGTGAAAATCACCGTTTACGTGGGCATGCCTTGCTCTTTCTTTTCATTCATAATGATAATCGTAATCATAAATATGATCGCATGGATGGTAAATAGAAGACGTAAATCAGTCCTATTATTTTAACGAAACTTTTCACATCATAGAGGAAGGAAGGAGAAATGAATTCACGGGTGAAAAGAAAAGCAAATAAAAACAGATCGACTTTATTTATAG